GACTCTGTTTTTCATCGTTTACGCAATGGGAGATTGAGTATTTAGTTTTAAAGCTCTTTACTTCGGTTTTTGCTCCGGTTTTACTTATAATGTTCATTAGAGTAAATTGGATTTGATTGATGATGGTGGACTTGAACTTGATTGCTTGCTTGAGTACATGGAGCCGTTAATTGCTTGTTGATCTCGGTTAGACGACTAGGATTAGCAATCTAATGCTCGTAGCTCGTTTATTCCGTATGTCGATTGATTGCCATCCTGATATGGTCATGGCATGAGACTCCGGTGATGTAGTTTGCTAAATGCTCGCGATTTCATCTTGCTTCTAGTTAATTGCTCGTTTTTAAGTGACAACCGAACCCACACCCTCTCTTGCAACCCCCAAAAACGCCTAACACCACTAGGAGCTTAGGAGCGACAGAACCCCGCCGTCCAACACCACTAGCCGATACATAGGGGGCAGCTCGGGCCCTCAACTCCGACACACCATCAGAGCCCGATCCTACCTTACGACCCACAAACCAGCCAACATCACCGACGACCACTGACACCAGGACAAGAAGAAACCCCCGAGCAGAAATTCACCGAAAAAAACAAACCACCCGAGGGCCTTCTGTTTGCACACAAATCGAAAAAATGGAACCTGAGCATAAAGAGCGGAAGACTCACCTCCAATCGAGACCGACATACAACAACTACACCAATTGCTAATCGGTCGACGACCAAAGTGCTCATCTCCCCCAATTCAACTTTGCCGGCGAATAGAGCAAGGCAGACCGACAATCACAGGCAACACCGAAGGTTCAGGATAGCAGAGGGGGTACGTCGGTTGAGCACGACCACCGGCCAGCGCTGCACCGTCGCTGAGGAAGGCTACGCAATTCAGTCATGGAGGAAGCCAGGATTTCGAATTTGGTGGTGGTGGGGGGGAGGGGGGAGGAGACGTTGCGAGAGAGAATATTAAATAAATGATTTGTCTTGCTTCACAAACTTTGAAATGATGAATATGATTTTTTATTTTACCTCCTTGACGAAATTTTGGCTCCAAAGAAATTTTTTTGTTGAGGCTATGTATTTTGTGAAGTTGTGTATATTGTGAAGGAATGATGAGGAAGATGAAGAGTTTTTCTTTCTTAAAAAAATAATAAAGCTAAAATTAAAATTATTAACTAATATTAATTTTTATTTAATAAGGGTAATATTGGAAAAAAATATTCTCAATCCCTATGCAAAAGAACATAACGACATTTATAATGAACTAGTTTTTTAGTTAAAGTAGAATAGATATATTACATTTTACATTAAGGCCTCATTTACTTCATCGGATGGGATTAGATGAGATTGGACTAATTATAAAGTGACATGGATTTTTATTTATGTTTTTAAACAATGATGTATTTTTCTAAAAATAGTCTTGCATTTACTTAGTTGGATAAAATTAAAGGATATATCTTGAAATGACAATTATAGCCATAGGGATACTCTTCTTCTTCTTTCCCGTTTCTCTCAATTTCTCCTTTTTTTCTTTTGTCCCAGAGCTGTCAAAATTTGGAAGCTCTCAGGTGTCTCTTGGGATGGTCTTAAGCAATCTGAAGTAAATTTCAAATGGTGGTGGCAGGATTTAGCTCTCATGAAGAACTTTTACGGAGCCAAGGACATAATCACTCTTTCAACTTACGTTCTATGGTGGCTCTGGAAAACTCGCAATAGTTGGATCTTCAGGAAAGAATGGGTCCGAGAGTGTGAAGCTGCAAAAGGTGCAAGGTTGGAGTGGTCTGAATTCTCCTCGGCTTTGGGCAAGTAGCTTTTGTTTTTTTTTTTTTTTTCTCTTTCTTCTTCTCTTTTGCTTGGGGGTTGGGGGTGACTGTTTTGGGGAATAATGGACTGTAGGGCAACCATAGAGTTGTCAGTGCATCCTCCATTATTTCCATAGGTATTTTGCCTTGTTGTTATTTTGGAGCCTCAATGTACTGTTGTCTATTTTGAGGTTAGGTATGTAATATTTTGTATAGGATAGCTTAGCTTTTTCTCTTTTCTGCTTTTGGGGGTTGGGGTTGGGGTTTTTTTGTCTCCTTGTCTCTGTTATTTGGTCCTGGCTTACATGGAGGTTAAGCCTGACTACATCCCTTTACTGTCTGTTTTTTGTCCTTGAGTCAGCGGTAAAGGGTCAGCCACTTGGTTGATCGGTTTTGTACAAAAACTGTTTGAGTTTAATCTTAATGTTATTATTGTTTTTGAAAAAAAAAAAACCCTAATTTCATAGGCAAATTTTCCAAATCTGAAGGTGTAGAGTACATGAGACATATACATACAAATGACATGCACGCAGAGGCTCCCCCAGCTCCCTCTTCTATCTAGACCTCTCATGTAACACAATTCACTGACAATCGGAGGATGGCTTGTTGGGTTTGTGTTTGGTCTTCTTCGTCGTGTCCGGTGATGGAGGCGATAGGCGGCTCGAGCGGCGGGTATAGTTTGGAGCGGAGAGGTTGGGCGGCGGCGGCAGGGCAGGTGGGCTCTGGATGGGCGGAGGATGGGTTGCTGGGTTCGTCGGAGGTATCCATCGGCGGCGGAGGATGGCTTGTTGGGCTCTGGATGGGCGGAGGATGACTTGTTGGGTTCGTCGGCGGCAGAGGTGGGCTCTGAAAGTTTGGAGGATGGTCTATTGGGTATGATGTGTAAATTTGTGAAAATATGCACTTTGGTCATTCTATGGGCATTTTGGGGACATAATGGTACTTTCACATTCAGGATAAAAATATCCCACCTCATAGCTGGGACAATAATAATCGACATTTTAAGGATTAAGCAATGTGCCACTGGCCACGTCATGCCACATCAGCTAATTATTATGTCCCATCAAGTGTAGTAAACATTGGATATATCAGTTATCCTATCCTATCTACCAAAGTAAACGAGGCCTAAGTATAATAATATTTTTAAAATAATTTTTTATATTATAGTTACTACTAATACTAACTAATTATAAATAATTAAATCATATGTTAAAGTTATATACATATAAAAAATCATATTGCACTTTTTTAATATTAGTTAGTTGGTCTTAATAGCATAATAAAGCTCTTTAAAATCACATAAAAAGTTTTTATAACAATAATAAAAAAAATTGTTAAATTTTGTTAATTGATTGTGGTCCCTTTTAATTATAAAAATTACATTATTCGTTATATTTTATGTCATTAATTTAATATAACAAATTATATGTAAATTGTATAATATATGTTTATATTGTTCAGTAAAAATTTTAAAATGTTGATACACCCGATACCGAATTTATAAGTTTTGGGAAAATAATAGTGAGCAACTTGAACTATACGTGATTTTGGGATTTACAATCTAAAGTATGTTTTTTGGTAAAATACAACCTGAACTACATACACAATCACTATTTGCACCCTCGACCACATATTGACCATACACGTGCCCTTTTTTTTTCTATTGAGCGGACAGTCAAAATGTGGTCGAGGGTGCAAATAGTGATTGTGCATGTAATGCAGGTTGCATTTTACCAA